TTCAGAGTTTAACTTCGTGTATGTTTTGTATTAAAAAATATCTAACAAATTTGTTTAGTGTAATTGGTTGTGATTGTTGTCTTTGTTTGAAGAGACTCGAGTTAAACCCTGCTATTGATATTTTTATATGAAATAAATAATTAATTAATTGTAAAGACCAAATTGTCCTTCCTACTTTTACTCTCGTTGCAAGAAATTTGAAATGAAGAAAATTACACAAGACTCTACCATATATTATTGGAGGACGAACTCTTTAGAGTTAATATATTTGTATGGCCCTAACTTTTCACATATTAAACATTCTGGTCAATCTTTTTGATTTATAATTTTGTTGCCATAACTATGCATCAAAGTTACGAAATTGGCGAAACCCGAGATTTGACAATTATCGTGGATGGTCAAATATGTTGACTAACAACAAAATGCGTTGACTAACACTACGTCACTGCCAAAATAGCACATACCACTTAAAAAATAATAAAGATTAATGAAATTGGCCTGATATTTTTAATTTCTTTTCCTTTTTTATTCTTCTTTTGTTCAAAATAAAAAAGTAAATGATAATAGGTTGGAAAAAACTAAAATTTTTAAGTGGTATGTGCTGACTTGGCAGTGACGTGGCACGTTGACCGTTAGTCAAAGCGTTTGACCGTCCAAGATAACGGTCAAATCTCGGGTTTGGCCAATTTCGTAACTTTGATGCATAGTTGAGGCTACAAAGTTATAGATCGAAAAGATTGGTTAGGATATTTAATATGTGAAAAGTTCGGGTCATACAAATATATTAACCCAACTTTTTTAACCATATATTTTCATAATAGACATTTTTCATTATTGAATAAAATTATATCTAATACCCAATTTAACTTTTAAGATGAAAATATGTAGTATACCATTCATCATTAAGGATGACAAAAATATCAACTATCATGAATATTTACCAAAATTAGTTAGGATAAAATTGTCAACTGAACAACTTATATGTGGATATAAATGAAATCCGAACTTAATATTAGGGGTAATAGCCATACATAATATTGTGAGATCTAAAATTTAAATTGCTTATATTCGAGAAAGGCAAAAGAATAACCCAATTGAGACGCGCGTGTCCTAAGTTAGACTTTTTTACTTCTTTAAAATCCAATTCGCCTGAATTTGCCTTGTACTACACTAGATTGGGAATTATTGTCGTATTTGCAGTAGTTTGGGTACTTTTTTTAAAAAAATACGATATTTATGGGAAAAATCCAAAGAAATGCTAGCAATGACTGAATTTTAGAAAAATAGACGTTCTTCTATTTATAAAAGAACAAGAAAAAAAAGGAAATAACCGTGTAATACGTCACTAAATGAGATTTTTTTGTGTATTCTAAAATTGCATGTCCTCCCAATCATATATAGAGGTTCCCCGCCCGTTCCCATTCCATTCCTTTTTTCCTTTGTTCTGCGCATAGTACGGAAGGACTCCACGATCCTTTTACTTACTTTTTTTTTTGTAAGAGCTACTAAGCTTTCACGGGATGAGCTTTTTTGTATTCATGAGCCCGGCTTCTTTTGTCTGCCGCGGTTGGGCAAAGCCAAATTTGAATGTCACTCAATTTTTTTTGAACAAAGTAATCCTCTAATTCCAATCCCAAGAAGGGAAGCCAGTAACATTACAAGAGTGGAACAATAATATCACAAATTACAATCCAGTCCACCGGTAATGTATTCAGTCGAGCTTGGCCAGCAACCCAATCCGCGAGTGAATTCAGACGCCGAGAAACGAACTCGACCTTGATCCATGGAGCAGAATGGATGACCGACACCATGCGAGTAATCATTGCACGACATTGCCAAGGCCAAAGAGAAGGGTCTTGACGAAGAGCAAGAGTAAGAACCTGGCAGTCTGTTCGGATGCGGGTAGGTTCTGTGTCTTGTGCTGCAATCAAGATGACATTGAGTAGACCAAAGGCTTCCGCTTGAATATGATGGGAACAGAGAAAAGAATCAGCCTTGCCGTCGTACACTTGACCATGGGCATTAGCAATAGTAATCCCATATACCGCCAATGATGAATCTGAGACAAAGGAATCGTCACAATACATCAACCGTGAAAACGGGAGGGGCGGTGGTAAATGGTTCGAACGGGGACCCCTAGGTTGGGAGTGAGATTGTGTCGTACGAGAGAAAGGAGAGCTCGACGGAGTCTTCCTAGCTTCTTCTAATAGCAAGAAATCACGACCCGACACAATCACAGAAGAGGCCGGGGTAGGAGCCTTTTCTTCAAACACGAAAGTGTTGCGAGCAATCCAAATACTTCATAAGCAGCACACAATCCTGCGGACCTGAGTGTTGGAATAGGTGTTTTGGAGATTAAAGAACCACTCACCAAAGGATGAGTTCTCTGGAGTGAGGCTATGGAGTGAATCAGAGTGAATGTCACTCAATTAACCACAGCATAGTCAAGCTTCTTTCGTAAGAGAAGCAATTGAAAAAAAAAGCTAAATTAAATAAAAACAAAAACCAAGTTGTCTATTGTGAACATGGTTAGGAATGGTCAGGGTGATTAATTAAATTATCGTAAATTCCTTGCTATTTGGCTGAAGGCCAACACTTTTGCACTAAGACTATGGAAATAGAATCAAAGTAGCACATTATGGAAGTAGAATCACAATAGCACATGGTTAGGCAGTCGCGTAGTCAGCATACGAGTTTAATGGGTCCTATTTATAAAACAATTCTATGACATTGTATTCCGTTATCAAGCAAATTCTCTTCGAAATATTTAGTTAAGCAGTCATTCATCAACTCATTAGTTATTAGATATGTACCTTACATTTTTTTTTTGTAACTCATAGTTGAGAAGTGACATTTCAATAACTAGCTATAATAAATAGTTCTCAAGGAAAATCTAACACATAAACGTATTATAAAGTACATTTGATGACAAATAAATTCTATCTTAATAGGAAAAATTGTTGAATTAAGGGCTTTGTAGATATATCCGGGGAATTTTTATAAATATTTATTAGGGCTAGAAATTTTTTTAATTAAAAATATTAAAATTGAGAATTTTTAATATTATATGATCGATAGTCTAATTTATTTGCGTATTTCATAATACTATGACAATTAAATTTTATAGGAGTGGGCTCCTGAATTCCGAGTCTACCCAAATTAAAGAAGTATATAAACATATATAATCATTTAAATTTATCCAAGTGGGGTCCTAGGACTCCATTCCTCTCCACCTCCCTCCGCCACTGTGGTTAGATATGTGTGATTAATCAAACAATCGCTAATTGACTATGTCTAAAATTATACATATTATTTTTCATATAAATATTTTGAAATACAATTCATTTTATCGAAATCCAATTGGATGCGTGGATTCATGGATCATTGGAAAATTATAGTTTAGTACCCATATATTTTTATATTTTATGATTTGGTACGTTAAAATTATTTTTTATGTTGAAAATATCATTGAAAAATTACGTTTGGTACCTTAAATTTTTTATAATGCCAATTTAGTACCTGAAGTGTTAAAAATTTATATATTGATCTAAGACTTGGAGATCATTTGGATACATGGATCAATCCATCAATCTATGAATCCACCAATTCATTTGATCCATGTAACTACCAATTCAAGCGACCAATTCATGGATCCAATCCATTTGCCACTCTATTCAATATCCATTACTACCATCATACATCCAATTTCGAGTTGACGACAAAACAGTTGAGGCAGACTTAATTACTTATTTGTTACGGATAGTGTGAGAGCTTTATTATTTTAATGTTAGCTGAGAAGTTATTCCAATCTCATGCATGAGATTTGTCTTTTATTTTCACTAAACTTGCCGAAGAAAATTCGAAGAAGACTTTGATGAGTAATTTTATAAGAATTATATAACAACATGAAAGAAAGTAGTAGTTGGAAAACAATCTATCTCTAATATTCTATTATTTTTAAGTTCAAATTCATTCATTCGAGAAAGAAATTGTACCCACTAAAACATAATTTTTTTGATCAAATAGTGTATCTCAATTGTTATTATTTTATACATTAGCATCCAGCTCTGGTAGACAACATTGTTTAATCTAACTTTATTATTTTGTCACGAGGAAGCTACATTTTTTGGAATGCCTTCACCTCCTCATCCCCTAGAAATTGAGAGAATGAAGTTAAATTTTCGTTTTGAAGATAACGAAAGATGAAGAAGAACAACTTCAGACAAAGTTCAATGCATGTACTGAGTAAATTTAAGTTCTTAAAAATATAGTTTGACAATTCTAAATATTTTGGCACTAAATTTTTGCTTTTAGTGAAATGCAGAAGGAGAAGGAAGAGTATGTTAATGGTATAGGTAGTGGAATTCAGTGATGGAGAATTGGAGATAATTATGTTACTCAGATAAAAGAAGATATTGTTGATGATGGATATAAAAATTTCAATGATGGGAGGAAATAACAAATGGTTGATAATATTTATTATTTGGATGAGAAAATATCTACTACCGCGAAATGTGTTTCACATTTTCAAACGTTAACCACTAAAATATAGATTTCGATGAAATGAGGGAGAAAAAGGAAGAGACTATTGATGATGAATATACATGTTTCATTAATGAAGATGAAGCAATCGAATATATTTTTGATGGCATAGCAATCACAAAGAAATTCAGAAATTTTTTTTGTCGTAATTTCTACAACGAAAAGTAAATTGAAGTACATTTGAATATTAAGTTTTATAGAAATCATGAGTTGTGTTTTTTGCTTTTGATAATGACTTCCGTCCATAAATTATCAAGATGAGTTGTATTTTTTTACTTCTGTTATATTGCTTTTTTTATATATTTGTAATAATTGCATAATTTGGATTCTTCAATGGTATCAAATTAAAGCGTAACTTGGTTTGGACAATTACTATTATTGTTTATACTACTAATGTTGTTCATCCGGCCAACGGGCGGGCCCAGTTCTAGTTTTGCATACAAAGTTACAACGAGTTGGAGCAATTTTGATATTTGTTGCCAAAAACAAAAGGGGAAGCAGTAATCATCATTTGCAACCACAAACGCTCACCACAGCGAGGCACAGCGAAAAGAGAAAGAAGATATAATGGCTGAGAGCAATTTCGCTGCAACCCAAAGTAGTAGTATAATAATCACAACAACAAAAACATTAACAACACAATTATTAAACAGAGTAAAGCTTCACCTGATCCATCTTCTTCCATCCGAGGGCGTCATTTCATATGGGTTTCTGATTCTTCCGTTTGTCATCTTCTTCTCCGTTTTTCTTAGCCAACAAGCTAAGAGAAGCATTTTAAGAGGAGCCCATCTCTTGAGCAAATACCAGAAATTGTTGTCTGTCTACTGATAGGTCATTGCAGGTGTTTTTAGTTTCTGTGGCTGTTGTTGATCGCTCTCTTTTTTGCTTTGCCGAGAAGGAAGATGTTGATTTTTGGTTGGAAGGGAGCATCTGGGTTTTCCTCTTGTTCCACGGCTGAGGCAGTTACTAATGGAGTTGATGCAACTGGCCTCACAGCTGTCGTCACAGGTATTGACTTCCTTTCATCTGGGTTTGACTTGTTTTCTGCTTGGTTCTGTTTGGTTGACGGGAAAAAAAGATACTTGAATTGATGGTAGGCTGGTAGCTTCATGCATAATCTTTCCTCAATTAGTAGTCTTTTACTTCAGTCGCTGAATTAAACCCCAATTTGGATGAGAGATCTTTTGTTATCTCCATACAGTCTTTTGTTATTTCCATACAGTCACTATGAATCTGGGGAGTCTTAATTGTCTGTCAGCTGATTTCCACCACTTGTTTGTGGGAGAGGAGTCTGAATTCCGACTGGCTGATTGAAAAATTACCTAGGGTTTGAGAGTAGAAATCTAGGGCATTGATTCCTGAATATTTGTTCAGGTTCATCAAGTGGGATTGGTGTGGAGACAGCAAGAGTCCTTGCTCTGCGAGGTGCTCATGTGGTTATGGCTGTAAGGAATGTTGATGCTGGCAGGAGTGTTAAGGAAGCAATCCTGAAGGAAATCCCAACTGCTAAGGTTGATGTTATGCAGTTGGATCTCAGTTCAATGGCATCAGTCAAGAAATTTGCGTCAGAATATGTTTCTTCAGGCCTTCCACTGAACCTTCTGATGTAAAGAGACTCGTGATCAATTTGGTTTTACTGTGACTCTTTTATGGAAGTGTCTCTGAAGGAAATGGTATTGGCCGAGATTGATGATTCTTTGATTTGATGACAGTAACAATGCAGGCATTATGATGTGTCCTTACATGCTCTCCACGGACAAAATAGAGTTGCAGTTTGCTACCAACCACGTTGGTAAGTTCGTTCAGGCCACTTTCTTTTTTTGTGCATTTGAATTATATAAGGTAACTGGAAGGAGAAAACTGAGAGGAGAAAGTTCCAAGTGTTTGCCAGGACATTTTCTTTTGACACATCTTTTGTTGGACACAATGAAATCCACTGCTCGTGAGAGTAATCAAGAAGGAAGGATTATTATTGTATCATCTGAAGGTCACCGTTTGTCTTACAAGGAAGGAATTCGTTTCGACAAGATTAACAACGAAGCCGAGTAACTGATTCTTCTTACTGCCTTATTACTACCTTCTGTTTGTTTTGACAACTCCTTGATTTCTGTCATCTGTTCGCTCATTTCCAGATACAACAACGTTCGTGCTTATGGACAGGCAAAACTTGCGAACATTCTTCACGCTAATGAGCTTGCTAGGCTCCTTAAGGTAATCGAAAAGCTTTCTGGTCATTTCCAACCTTTATCTTGATAACATGCACAGTTCATAAATCACAGAACTTAAAAATAAGTGAAATTCTTAAATTTTCACTGATAATCAGCAAGCTAAGCACTTAACATTAGGTGGGTTCCTTAATTCTTGCTGCATGTCTGATTCCAGTTTTCTCTGTTCAACCAGGAAGAGGGAATTAACATAACTGCCAACTCACTTCACCCTGGAGTCATTGCTACAAACCTTTATCGTCATACTGGTGTGATTGCAAGTTGGTACTCCATGGATCTTGTCTTGGCTTTCTTTAACTTAATAAAACATTATGGTCATGGATTCATCATTCGAGTTCGAACCCTCCTAACAAGTTCCATTTTTCTCTTCGCACAGCCATTACAAATGCCATCAGTAGATTTGTGCTGAAAAATGTTCAGCAGGTAAGCATTTCTTCTGTCTGATTAGTGATCAGCAAGGGTAACTCAAACTATTTTGCTGAACATGGTTTTGCAGGGAGCTGCTACTACATGCTATGTGGCACTGCATCCAAAAGTGAAGGGGGTGACTGGAGAATACTTCAGTGACAGCAACGTATACAAACCAAACTCTCAGGCTAAAGATGAAGAATTGGCAAAGAAGCTTTGGGATTTCAGCTTGGATTTGATCAACCCTTTTTGCTAAATGCTGCTTTCTAGTCATATTTGGTGGAATCTTACTTCCCATGTCTTTAGTCTTTACAAAACTTCATAAATACATGCTCACATATGGAATGGAACAGTAGGTGTTTTTACTGTTCTATTTGAGCATTGCAATTTTATGAGTGCAACTTTTCTAGTCATGTTTGGTTGAATTCCACAACTACTTTCCATGGCTTTCTTGCACAATTTACATATACATTTTTTTGTTGCTTCGTCTCCAGATGTTGTGTATGGTTTGGTTGTCATTTAAGTTAGCTATTTCGCCGAATAAATGGTGCAGCTCTTTCATTCTAGTTCTTTGTTCTCTGCTGAGGTCCTGGGTTTGCTAGTTACATGTCCCGCTGCTACTATTATTATCAGCGCACTAAATCTTAACCTGCTCTTCAACTAGGGGGGATTTCTAACTAAGCATATCTAATTCAATCCAAAACATGAGATTCAGACCATCTCTTACTGTTTGGCCACCGAGATTCAAATTCCGTAATCTCTTACGTTTCAGCCAACTCTTCCTTCATATTTCTAGTTTGTTACTGATGTTACATGTAGACCGTTGAATGATTCAAAATGTCTTGAAGTGCAAAAGTATTCTGCTCAAATTTGATTCCTTTAAGGTTGTTCATCGAAAGAACAAAACAGACATCGTTTTCTTTCAGGAGAAAAATAGTACTTGATGATGGAAATGTTGACTTGATTAAGACTTCATGTTCTGGCTGAATTGTCTTTTGACAGTTTGCCACAAGCCAAAACAGGCTTCCCATCTCCGACTGATTATTCAACGTGAAAGATATCACCACAAATTTCACTTTAAGTGACTAACAATTGAACTTTGTTGAAAAATTTCAAAGCTCTTTCTTCTTTGTTAAATACCTTTCACATTGAACTCTTGTAATACCTTAAAGCAAATAAAACCACCTTACACAACAAGTTACACACCTAGGTTACATCCCTTGGCAGAACACACTATCTGACTAGCAGACTAAAACGTTGTAACTCCAACAAAAAACAACAATGACAACAACGACGATAACAATAAAATAAAAGATCTACTGGGTCTTGATCAACTTCATGCTGAAATCCCAGAGCTGTTTAGCCAACTCATCATCTTGAGCAGGAGCAGTACCTGGTTTGGATATGTTGCTGTTCTTGAAGTATTCCCCTGATACACCTTTCACTTTGATAGAAACATGGTTGTTAGAGTTTTCTATTATTAATTATGGTAGGATAATTATTATTAGGGTTGAGTCATATTATGATAGTCTATTAGGTTTTTCCAGTCTTTCGCTATATATATGTACTTTGGGTCTTTTGTTCAATTAAGCAGAAATCAGTTAAAGAATTATCCTCCCAAACTCTAAGCTTCCCGTATCTCCTAATTTCTCTTCGTCCCAAATCCAAAGCTTCGGCCGATTCTTATTCTGTTCTTCCTCTCCTAATCCCAATCTCAAATCCCTAATTCTGTTCTTAATCCCTAAACCCTCAATTATCGATAGAACCCTAATCCAGGTTCTATCATTTGGTATCAGAGCCATATATAGTTGAGTTGCAGCTCCCTGTATTTAACCATTAAATGTACATTGTTATGTTACAGCTAATGATTTACCACTCGTCCAAGCTATGAAAGAAAATTTGGCTTCACAACTAATCAAGCGAAGCACGAAACCACTGTGTGTGTATTCTGCACAGTACCTGGCTTGAGGTTTTGAGGAGGTACTTGATACCGCTGGAGATGGCTGCACATAACAGGAACATTAGCATAAGAAACCAACAACACAGCTGGGTATGGAATGTTTGACGGAATCCAGGCATTGATGAGCATGTATTACCATTAAGAAGGCCATTGTTGCGTCCAAGATTCGTAGCTATCTCACCAGGATGAAGTGAATTAGCAGTTATGTTCACCCCTTCTTCCTGCACATTACATAAAGTAAACACATATGCCCTTCACTTGTAAGTAACAATGCCATTTTCAACATTATCATTAACATCATTTGTAGGCATACAGCATGTTTTCATGAGCTTTGTTACCTTGAGGCGCCTAGCGAGCTCCTTGGCATGAAGGATGTTAGCAGCCTTGGACTGTCCATAAGCGCGGTAGCAGTTGTATCTGCACCAAGAGAACGTTAATGTTACATTAGTCCCACAGATTTTGGGCAAGTTGAAGGGTTTTGTAAGTTTACTCACTCTGCTTCGTTGTTGATCTTGTCGAATCGAATGCCTTCATTGTATGCAAATTTGTGTCCATCCGAAGACACGATCACAATCCTCCCTTCTCGATTGCTCTCACTAGCTGTCTTCTTCATCGTGTCCAGCAACAGATGCGTCAACAGAAAGTGTCCTTCACATTAACAAGTTCCATTCTCTTTCAGTCACACATGAAACTGATATTTCATTCTATTTTGGAAAGGATCGAAGCAGCTACTTACCAACATGGTTGGTTGCAAACTGCAACTCTATGCCGTCGGGAGAGAGTGAGAAAGGTGGTGCCATGATTCCAGCATTGTTACTGCCACATAAGAAATTCATTAGCATCACCAAAACAGAAAACCTCATCTCAATTTTCTTATATATATATGGTGGCGTCTTCGGTGCACTCACTTTTTTGGGTGCATTCGGTGCACTCACTTCATAACCGTCATTTTAAACATGCGATTTATGTCAAAATGATGTCATTCATCACTTATGATGTGATGAACAATAACGCACATGAATTTGCACAAAAACCATTGAAGATTTACTTTAATTTGAAGGATTTAGAGTTTAGATATTTAGGGTTAGGGTTTACAATTTGGGGTTTAGGGATAGAACTCAAAATTGGAGGTCTAGGGCTTAGGGTAATCCACTAATTAGTTGTTATCATCTGCTATATCATCATATTACACTAATTCTACAAATTAAAATTCAAAATCTGACACCTTAAGACTAGTTTTTGAGTTGGGTGCATTGAGCACAGTCATTTTTGTGCATGCACCGAAGTAGTCACCATATATATATATGGCAAAGGCTAGCGTACGCCCGGACGTATCCTAGCCTACCGTACGCCCGTTGAGTTTTGCTTTTTAGACAATGAATTGACCGGAGAGTTTTGCTATTTAGACAATGAATTGACCGGAGTTTGAGGCATGATACTATACCCTAACCGCTAATGGGTGAACCCCAGTCCACAATTCACTAACCCAAAGCATAATATTCATTTAATCTTGAAATGAAAATCAACGGTTCTGATTCGTCGAAATTATTGTTTATTTTCATTTTAAGATTAAACGAATCTCATGATTTGGGTTAGAAAACTAGGGGCTGGGGTTTATCCATTAGTGGTTAGGGTATAGTATCATGCCAAAAACTCCGGTTAATTCATGATCTAAATAGCAAAACTCAATGGGGCGTACGCTATCCTTTGCTATATATATATATGGTGGCGTATTCGGTGCACCCACTTTTTCGGGTGCACTCAGTGCACCCGCCTCATAATTGTCATTCTGACCATGCGATTCATGTCAAAACGGTATCAATTGTTGCTTATGATATTATGAACAAGAAGCACATGAATTTGAAAAAAAATTCATTCAAAATTTACTTTAATTTGAAGGATTTAGGATTTAGGGATTTAGGGTTAGGGTTTAGGTTTACAATTTGGGATTTTGGGTTGGGATTCAAAATTGATGGTTAAGGGGTTAGGGACTTAGGGTAATGGATTGATTTGTTATGATTCTATGTCATTATATATAATTATATATATATATATATGGCAAAGGCTAGCGTACGCCCGGGCGTACCTTAGTCTACCGTACGCCCGTTGAGTTTTACTATTTAGATCATGAATTAACCGGATTTTTTGGCATGATACTATACCCTAACCTCTAATGGATAAACCCCAGTCCCTAATTTTCTAACCCAACTCATGAGATTCATTTAATCTTAAAAATTAAATCAACAATAATTTTGACAAATCAAGACCGTTGATTTTCATTTCAAGATTAAATGAATATTATTCTTTGGATTAGTGAATTAGGGACTAGGGTTTATCCATTAGAGGTTAGGGTATAGTATCATGCCAAAAACTCCGGTTAATTCATTGTCTAAATAGCAAAACTCAACGGGCGTACGGTAGACTAAGGTACGCCCGGGCGTACGCTAGCCTGAACCATATATATATATATATATATATATATATATATATATATATATATATATATGGTGGCTACTTCGGTGCACTCACTTTTTTGAGTGCACTCAGTGCACCCATCTCTAAAAGTGTCCATAATACATCAAATTTTGAACTTTAATGAGTACTCTCAATCTAATATGATGATATGCCATAGAATCATAGCAAATCAATCTATTACTCTAACCCTTTAACCTTCAATCTTGAATCCCAATGCAAAATTCCAAACTGTAAACCTAAACCCTAATCCTAAACCCCTAAATCCTATAAATTAAAGTAAATTTTAAATGATTTTTTTTTCAAATTCACGTGCTTCTTGTTCATAATATCATAAGCAACAATTGATACCGTTTTGACATGAATCGCATGCTCAGAATGATGATTATGAGGCGGGTGCACTGAGTGCACCCAAAAAAGGGGTGCGCCGAATACGCCACCATATATATATATATATATATATATATATATATATATATATATATATATATATATATATATGGGGAGTTCTACGGTACCCCGGGTGAAATCCGGGGTACCTCATACCTTGAGTAACAAAACGCTATCCAGAACTTGAATTGACTGATCTTTCGGACATGATACTATACTCTAACCCTTAAAGATCAAAATCTAGGTATTAATTCTCTAAATATTATACCCCAAGATCAATTTAATTAGAAAAAATAATCGACGGTTATGATTCGTCCAAATATAGGACAAAAATCAATGCACCATCTTAGGGTCTATAGTTTATGATTAAGATAATTAGCACCTAGGGTTCACTCATTAAGGGTTAGAGTATAGTATCATGCCCAAAAACTCTGCTAATTCGAAGTCTAGATGGCGTTTTCATACTCAAGGTATGTGGTACCCCGGATTTCACCCGGGGTACCGTAGAAGGCACCATATATATATATGTATATTATTATGCGTACATTGATGACAATGCATCTATTTAACTATCACCAAACCCAAACTACCCCTTCGAGTTAAGATCGAACTAACCATTTGATTTTTAATGATGAGATGAAATTTAATAAATGAATTGACTCGTGTTTGAGTTGACTAGACTCATTCATAAACGAGTCAAGGTCGAATTCAACTCGTTTATAAACGAATCACACCTAAACAAAACAAAACTCGATTGAAACTAAGTTTCAATTTCAACGAGCAGAGTACGTAGGGGTTCTTTGTTTATTATATCCAAAAACAAAAGTTTGACCTTTCGTCACGTGATATGAGGAATCATTCTCAGGATTTTCTTTGAAACAAGTCAAGATTTCCAATTACTACTGTCCCCGGACCATGTGACAACTTACCATATTAATGGAAAAAATTCCAAAATATAAGGATTAATGAAATAAATTCGTTCTAAGACAACATTTTGCAAAACAAAATCTCAAAACACAATAGTTTTGAGCTGTTTGCTCTAGTGTCAAGCTAACAAAGTAGTAATTTGCTTGATATTAGAGCGATGTACAGTGAATTGCACTAAATTGAACAAGTTCGCGCCATAAAGATTCGAACCAGCCTTAATTTGTGTTAATTACGTAATATTTATAGAATTGAGTGTACAGTATAAAAAATCCTATGAAGAATGAAAGAGTATCAAAACAGCTGTCTAAATGTAAAAAAAAAAAAAACATTATGTGAAATTGGACATAAGATATGGGGAAAAAAACATCAACTAGTAATTTTTTGTGGGGCAAAATTAGTTTATGGTGAAATTGAATGTGGAGTATAAAAAGGATTCAGTGAATAGTAGCTGCTAGAAAAAGGGGAACTATGTTTAATACTACTATTTTTTAGTAAGAAATAGTAGTTTTAACTTGTGCTTTTCTTTTTTTGTCTTCGGAGCACTCAATTTTTTTTTTTTCATTCAATGCACAAGCCTCATAATCGTCATTATGAGTAGGTGATTCATGTCAAAACAATTTCAATTGTCACTTGTGATATGTTGGACAAGAAAACATATAAATTTGCACAAAAATCATTCAAGATTTACTTTGATTTGA